CTCGCCAGCTACATACCAGCCTGCCAGCTACATACCAGCTCGCCAGCTACATACCAGCTTGCCAGCTACATACGAGCTTGCCAGCTACATACCAGCTTGCCAGCTACATACCAGCTTGCCAGCTACATACCAGCTCGCCAGCTACATACCAGCTCGCCAGCTACATACCAGCTCGCCAGCTACATACCAGCTTGCCAGCTACATACCAGCTCGCCAGCTACATACCAGCTTGCCAGCTACATACCAGCTCGCCAGCTACATACCAGCTTGCCAGCTACATACCAGCTCACCAGCTACATACCAGCTCACCATCTACATACCAGCTTGCCAGCTACATACCAGCTTGCCAGCTACATACCAGCTTGCCAGCTACATACCAGCTTGCCAGCTACATACCAGCTTGCCAGCTACATACCAGCTTGCCAGCTACATATCAGCTCGGCAGCTACATACCAGCTCGCCAGCTACATACCAGCTCGCCAGCTACGTACCAGCTTGCCAGCTACATACCAGCTCGCCAGCTACATACCAGCTCGCCAGCTACGTACCAGCTTGCCAGCTACGTACCAGCTTGCCAGCTACATACCAGCTTGCCAGCTACATACCAGCTCGCCAGCTACATACCAGCTTGCCAGCTACATACCAGCTCGCCAGCTACATACCAGCTCGCTAGCTACATACCAGCTTGCCAGCTACATACCAGCTTGCCAGCTACATACCAGCTCGCCAGCTACATACCAGCTTGCCAGCTACATACCAGCTTGCCAGCTACATACCAGCTTGCCAGCTACATACCAGCTCGCCAGCTGCATACCAGCTCGCCAGCTGCATACCAGCTTGCCAGCTACATACCAGCTTGCCAGCTACATACCAGCTTGCCTGCTACATACCAGCTTGCCAGCTACATACCAGCTTGCCAGCTACATACCAGCTCGCAAGCTACATACCAGCTTGCCAGCTACATACCACCTCGCCTGCTACATACCAGCTTGCCAGCTACATACCAGCTCGCCAGCTACATACCAGCTTGCCAGCTACATACCAGCTTGCCAGCTACATACCAGCTCGCCAGCTACATACCAGCTTGCCAGCTACATACCAACTCACCAGCTACATACCAGCTTGCCAGCTACATACCAGCTTGCCAGCTACATACCAGCTTGCCAGCTACATACCAGCTTGGCAGCTACGTACCAGCTTGCCAGCTACATACCAGCTTGCCAGCTACATACCAGCTCGCCAGCTACATACCACGTACCAGCTCGCCAGCTACGTACCAGCTTGCCAGCTACATACCAGCGTGCCAGCTACATACCAGCTTGCCAGCTACATACCAGCTTGCCAGCTACATACCAGCTTGCCAGCTACATACCAGCTCGCCGGCTACATACCAGCTTGCCAGCTACATACCAGCTCGCCAGCTACATACCAGCTTGCCAGCTACCAGCTTGGCAGCTACATACCAGCTTGCCAGCTAGATACCAGCTTGCCAGCTACATACCAGCTCGCCAGCTACATACCAGCTCGCCAGCTACATACCAGCTTGCCAGCTACATACCAACTCGCCGGCTACATACCAGCTTGCCAGCTACATACCAGCTTGCCAGCTACATACCAGCTTGCCAGCTACTCAGCTTGCCAGCTACGTACCAGCTTGCCAGCTACGTACCAGCGTGCCAGCTGTACCAGTATTGCAACATACAACCCCAAACTCTAGCCATGCCAAAGTCAGGCTTCTTTTCAAAGAGCACTTCATAAGGAGTTACCCCTGATGGCAGAGAGGAATGTTCCAGACGATTCCTCACCTAAACAGCTTGAAGAGCTGCAAGGTGCCACCAGTGGTGGGGAGCTCCCATATGCAGAAGCATCGTCCTAACTGCTTCGATGACAGTCCGCATTTCACGTTCCACCATCCCGTTCTACTGCGGCGTATATGGGCAAGTGAGGTCGTGCTCAATCTCTTTCTCTTCGAGGAACTCGGTGAACTTACTTCCCGAAAATTCGCCACCTCGATCGGAGCGGAGAGCCTTCAGCGAAGCCTCACATTGCCTCTCTGCACGCGGAAGCAACTTCTGGAAAACGTGCAGAGCATCGCTTTTCTACACAATCGGGTAGATCCAGACGTAGCGAGATTTTCGATCGTTGAACAGAAGAAAGTAGCGGTTGCCGACTTTCGCAGGAACTCGGAAGGGCCCGCAGAGATCGATGTCCACTACTCCCAGCACCTTCTGCTCCTCACTCCCCTCTTGAGGGAAACTATGTCGAATAAGCTTCCCCCCCACACAAGAAACACACGATAGATCAGGGTTGGCTGACTTGTCAATATCCAAGCCTGTTGCTCGATTGTTTCGACACCCGCATGTGCAAGTCGAGGATGCCACACATCCATCTTCGCCCGTGTATCCGTCGCCAAGGTCCGCAGAGCAATCGCCTCCTCTGCCGATTTCTGCAGCGGCCACATTTCAAGATCTGTGCTAAGCACTCGTCCTCGATAACGAGCGCGTCCAAGGACTGTCTCGTCAGTAGAGAGGAGGGTCTCTTCTCCTTCATTCTTCAGCTTTATTCCACAATCCATCAACTGCCCAACAGACAACAGATTCGCATGGATTTCAGGTACGTAGAGCACAACAGAAATCAGAATCTGCTTCCCAGCTTCACTGCGTAGAGCGATTGTTCCGCAACCACGCACTGCTTGGAATGCCCCGTTGAATCCGCGAACATGTTTAATGTCGCCACCTTCATGCATTTCAACAAAGGCTGCATCATCGCCCATCACATGATGCGAGCAGCCACTATCGCGAAGAACAACTGCAGGATCGGCCTCGACGGCTGCAGCAATCGCCTGAAACATCTTCCGCGTTCAACGAAATGAATAGATCGATCGTCTACAGTTGGTCAATAACTGGTCCCACCATTGAGCAAGAAGGTCCCTTTTTGTTGGTCGAATTGGAGTTGTCGCTTTGCGTTCCCGTCTTCAAAGAACCCTCCTGCATGGAAGCATTGTTCTTCTTGTCGGCGCGTTGTTTGCACTGGAACGCAAAGTGTCCGACTTCTCCGTAGACCCAGCAAGGTTTTTTCGAGCTCCGCTTGTTGTTCGGCTGTCGACCATCTTTCTTCTGCTGCTCTTTCTTCGACGACTTCTGCTCCGTAGAGCCGCCAGATGTCGAAGAAGACCAACGCTTCTGCTACTGCTGCTGTCCTGTCGACGCCCAGTTGACTTGCGGCAAAGGTGATTCCTTCCGCTTTTCGAGCTCGAGCGTGCACTCCTCCGCGATAATTCTGCTCGTGAAAGTGTTTTCGTCGAGGGTCTTGCAATTTTCCGGAGATTGTAGCATTCGTCGCAGGTACTTGTATTCCGCGGGAAGGGAGCATGAGTCATATACGAGGCCATCGAATAGTTCACGCCGGCCATTCGCAAATTAACGAGAAACATCTGCGCACGATTGCAATAGGTCGTCGCCGTCTCATGCTCCGCCATCTCTAGCGTCACCAAGCTCTTCTCCAGCTGGCCGATATAGAGATTATCCGTTGTTTTGTAGGTCTCCATGATGAAGCGCCACGCCTGGTAACCCGCATCCACCCGAAGACGACATGATTTCAAGGCGATCTTCACGGATGGAGAGCAACAGCGCATATCACCATGAAGGCCAGCAGCTGCGCCGAGTGGAATTGTGTATACTGTGAAGTGTCGCTCAGCCGTGGAATCTTGATCAAGCCGTCGATGAACGGCTTCAGCTGCGCGATTTCAAGTTGAGGCTCGATGGACTCCCTCCACACGGATAAATCATGACGTCCTTCGAGAAGCTTCGGCACCACCATGATCTTGTCGGGAGAAAATTTGAAGTATCCGTAGTCAGGAGCAATTCCGCCGTCTTTCGATGTTGTCGGATGAGAGATTGCAGAGCTCCCACCAATCTTCACTGCAGATCCTCGACCGCTCAAGCGTCCTCCTTTGCCACCCGACTTCTTCGGACTTGCACCATTCTTCTGCTGCGAGCCTTCACCAGGGCTCATCAGTTCTACTTGTCGTAGAACACCTCGTGGCTCTTGCATTCCGCCTTCTTCCGGTTCTTCAGCGTCGTCGTCGTCTCCAGAAGTCTGTGATGCCCCGTCTTCCTCTGTACGAGTCTGCGGATGGTCGATCTCACATTGAGCTCGTGCTCCCAAGAACATAAAGTTGTTATCCCGCTCGGTAAGATCTCCGCCTTCATAACGAGCCATGAAAGCAGCCTCCTGCTCACTTAAACTGTCGAACGTCTCGATGATTTCCTCAGAGTCCACCATGTCGACTAGCTAAGTTCAATGAGACCTAACGTCGAAAAACGGGCTCACCGCACCATGCAGAGATTTTTGCTCCAACGGGGAGCTTCTACGGAATGCCTTCTGCAGTCACGCAAACTTTGTTGTTCACTAAGGAGAAAATTGGTTAAGTGTTGAAGCATAGAGTTGCCACACACAAAAGAAATTCACTAGAATAGAATGAAAGATAGAATAACAGGGGTAAAGAACTACCCAACCATTGAACCTAGCAAGAGAACGTTCTCACCAAAATGTTTAGATAACTATTACTTAGCTGCGCTTTGCCAAGTCAGCATCGGCAGGTGAAAATTACAACACATGCTTAGTTGGTAATTTCTACCTACCTAAAAGTAGTTATTTTAATAGTTCAGGTTGTTTTGAACAACTTCTGTAACGCACGTTTTCATAGTTACGAAAACATGCGCCAGGTTCAGTTTGCTCAGGTGCTTCAATTCGCCCCCAGATTGAACACCCCAAGTTTACGCACTGTTTCCGGAAGTCAATTTCTCAATGTCCGCTAGGGATGAGCATATTGCCGAACACCCGTTCGGTTCATCTCGAACATGTTCGGGTGTAGGATGTTTGGGCCTTTGGGGACCGACGACAAACGGCAATGCAAGATTTGCACTGATCGGATTTCTTGGAAGGGCTCTACACCTACACCAGGCGAGCACCACTTTGAGAGCTACCACACTACTCATATGGATGTGTGGTTCCACCGTTTCCACAATCCACATCTGCCACTGCCGGGCGAGACGTTTCCGAGGGGGGGCTACGTCGGAGTGCCTGATGGCTACGTGTATTATTGGCCGCATGCAGAAAGCTGGGAAAACATCCCAAAGAAGGGAGGGAAGGCAGAGGGGCGAGGGGCGGAGGGGTCAAGCGAGGCTGGGATTAAGACCTACATGTCGAAGAAGCTGTCAGAAGTGGAGCTTCGTCAGGCGATCGCCAAGCTGGTGGTGAACTGCGACCTGCCCTTCAAAATTGTGGAGGCTGAGGCAGTAAGGGTATAGGGCTGCTGGGCGTGGCTGGTGTGGTCTGGTTGGTTGGCTCGGTCGTGGCAGTTTGCAAGTATTGTGCGTACGACGAGCGCATGATGTTGAGGGGAGGGTGTTGGGTTGGGACACTTACGTCTCTCCTTTCCATGCCATTCGTAGCTGTTAAGCGAGACCCAACGCATGCTCGTTGTATGATCTCCCTCCACCCACCCCACCATTTTCGCGAGCTTCTGACCCTGTGCAACCACCACTGCGGGCAGAAGAACTTCATACCTTCGCGCTGGACAGTGGCACGCAATACTGTGGCGTTTGCAGCGGCCGCTCTACATGCAGCCAAGGCGGAGCTGCAGGGGAAGGAGGGGGAGTTGGGATGCAAGGTGTGGTACACTATTGACATCTGGACTGCGCCCAATGGGAAAGCTTGGTTAGTTGTGACAGGTCACTGGATCGACGAGTCGTTTCAGCTGTGCGAGGCAGTGTTCGAGTTTCGCGAGCTGCCGGGTCGTCATGGCGCAGCACAGATCGTGCAGATCATGGAGGACACGGTGGTGATGTGGGGGTTGGAGGGGCGTTGTCTGGGCCTCACCACAGACAACGCCTCAGCCAACATTGCCGCGTACAGGCGGCTGTCAGAGGAGGGTGGTGGTCGGGCTTTCTTCAACTCCTGCCTGCACTTCAGGTATGAGTGTGTGTGGTGTGGGGGTGATATCGGGGTTGCAGGTCAGGAATGGCGTTGTGGGGGTGTGTGGGTGTATTCAGGGTTTTAGTAATCTCCCACACCACGGCAACCAAATACCATGTGTCACTACCTTCCAAATCCCATGCCTGTGGTGCTATGGTTTGCAGGTGTGTGTCACATGTGGTCAACTTGGCAGTGCAGGCAGGACTGAAGGTGGAGGCCATTCGCGCCTTGTTGAAGGTGCTCAGAGACATGGCGTCCTGGGTTGGGTACTCGCCGCAGGGCTCGGCGGCGTTTCTGGGGCTTCAGCGCGGCCTGAACCAGCAGGCCCGTGTCAAGAAACCAGCCTTGAAGCTGGTGCAGGACAGTCCTATCCGCTGGGGCTCGACTCATGCCATGATCGAGCGCTTCCTTGAGCTGGAGAACTCGATCACTGTGTTCTTGGCCTCGACCCAGGTATAGGACGGGGACGGGACATGGGATCAGTGGCGGATGTGGCTGGCATGTGTGCGGCATGTGTGTGGCATGTGTATGGCATGTGGGTGGCATATGTGTGGCATGTGTGCGGCATGTGTGTGGCATGTGTATGGCATGTGTGTGGCATGTGTATGGCATGTGTGCGGCATTTGTGTGCCATGTGTGCGGCATGTGTGTGGCATGCGTATGGCATGTGGGTGGCATGTGTGCGGCATGTGTGTGGCATGTGTGCGGCATGTGTGTGGCATGTGTATGTCATGTGGGTGGCATGTGTGTGGCATGTGTGTCGCATGTGTGTTGGATGTGTGTGGCATGGGTGTTGGTTGCATGCCGTGCGATACATATTGATAAAAGCCCTCAAACTCATATGCCTCACAAAACCCATACCCTGACAGGGCCTGGCGAAGGAGGACAAGGAGAAAGTGGAGAAGATGCGCCTTTCAGATGAGCAGTGGGGGATGTTGAGGGAGCTGAAATTTTTTCTCAGCCCCTTCAACAAGGTCTCCAAGGCAGCCGAGGGGACGGCGTACCCGACTCTGTCGATGGTGGTGCCGTACTACAACGGCCTCATCGACGCCATGGAGGCCAGACTGGCAAAGGGGACCTCGGCGCTGCTGAAGCCTCTGGTCTAAACTGTTCGGTTCGCCGAACGGCCATGTTCGAGCCAAGGCGAACGCGAACATGTTCGTGTTCGCCTCGTGCTCATCCCTAATGTTCGCAATGTTCCGAAATTCCCACGCAAAAGTTCCGAAACGATCGCGTTTTCACATCGGAGAGGTTCGTCGGTCGAAAACGTGCTTCTCTGCAGAAATCCGCTTCTGCAGACGTGTCCTCCTCTGCAAAACGATTTCTGTAGATGCGCACGCTTCTGCAGCAGAGTTCCACGTAATCCCCTGCAGCATTCGCTTCGGCGGAAATTTGCACTCCTGCAGAGCGCGACGACCCTCTCTGCAGGGTCAGTGCAAACTCAACAGAAGTAAAATCGCGCGTATAGTTGTTGCGTATATTCCATTCCTTGGGAGAGTACAGGGTTTAGGGTCAGGGACACTCTCAGCCTTCCCACGCTTGGTTACATGATCACGTGTGTGACTCGGAGCTCATGGAGGAAAGTGACATAAGAGGAGGTACGCAGGCAGGCAGTAAACTCAGCTGTAAAGCCCTATGATGCAGAATACTCTAGCAAGTGTTGGCATGTTAACAACTGGGTTTAGGGTTGGCATGTTTGTATGGTGGGTAGCACACCCATAACCCCCAAGGCCGCACTTGTAGCCCTTCCGCACTCAACTTGGGAACGATCCCAGTGTCCCACCAGCAGCAAGCGAGAAAGACGGAGACAGCTGGGAGCACATGCTATGTGCAGAACTACATTCTGCGGAACACCTTTGACAAGAATCATGTGAATCACTTGGCCAGCATTGGGTCACAGAGGCAGGGAGCGAGGAGGGGGATGAGTGGCAGGCGAGGGGGGTGAGGTGAATTGGGGGCTACAACCACGGTACCAAGGGTCCACTTACATGGATGTTATCATGCCCTGGGAATCGCAGGTGACATTGCTTGCCTTGCTGCACTCCCCACCAACCACCCAGCCATCAATCGTTGTGTTCCATGCCTTCTGACAATCCAGCAGGACTTGCGCTGCGAGGAAGAGGCACAGGCGGTGATCAAAAGGCGAAAGAGTGTATTTACAAGTTTATCACACATGGCAATACCAGAAGAATAGTACTATGTGGAGGAAGGAATGCAAGAGTCAAGGAGTCGTTCCAAATTTCACCTCAGTCTCCTCCCAACCTCTCCACCTCTCCTCCCAGCTTTTAATGTGCAATGTCTGTGTAGTGGCGCGAAGATGAACATTAACTGTACCCTGGGACTCGGCGAGAGGAACGCAGTTAACTCGTGAGACTGCGAGACACGTCAGCAGGAACAGCCCACCAAGGGCTGCGCGCTCCATGTCGCTTCAAGCTATGACGGTCAGCGGCAATTCTTTGAATATGTTCTGCGCGAAGTTTCGTCCGGGAATTTAATGACGGACACTAACAGAAAATATTAATCCGGCGCAACAAAACCCGCATTCGAAGCGATAGGGATGAAGGCGTGCTTGGCAAGGACCACGATGTTCTTTCTCAGGGCTGTGTCACAAAACTGAGCCCCTGGTTTAGGGTTAGGGTAGTGAGGGTGGCTGAATATGATTCCCTCGAACTTTCATTCACGTTTGCGGATTGGCTCATTTGGAGAGTGATTTGCCTGCATGTGGACGTGCGCTGCAGATTTCGTTGTGGCCCCGTGCAGCTGCACGACCCGGGTTCTTCAGACGGCTCAAGTTGGATTCGTTTGTGACATCGGCCATGTAGGCATTCCCACGTGTACCTTGCTCTGTATCCCACGTGTGCTGTTGCTGATAGGAAGTCCAAACATCTGGGATAGTCCTCACGTGCACCCAATCTGGTGTCACGGCCATTTCCAGTGTCATTTCACTGCAGGGCACGTCTGCTCTGCACTGCACCGCATGTATCGAATCGCTACGAAAACCGTTGTAGCATATGACACAGCATACGCCAAGCCATGCAAACAGAAAACGTGATCCTGATAGAATCCCCCCCAACACCTCGGAAAGGAATCTGGCGTGAGTTTATGCGCTTACCCCTTTCACAGGGTCCCTCACTCGTTTGTGGACTAGCATAACTGTACAAACTGCAAGTTCATGAGTAGCGTTTTTTGTCACTATATGACACCTACTATGTTATGTGTTGTAAAAAGAATAGTGTCCGGAACTCAATAGCGAAGAAGTGATTACAACGTCAACAGGTGATTTACCATGTACATTTTAACGAGGGACCCTAGCTATGCAGGAACCTTGGAAATTGATGTTGGTTGCTGGTCTGGGAGCGCCAAGTTTGAAAGCGACACAAGTCAACTTTGAAAGGTGATGTCATCGGATCAAACATTATCGCACAAACTTACTAAGGAGTGTAAAAATCCTTACACTACCCTCCGGCATCCAAAAAATCTCGAGGCAGAGTTCGCTTAGAAAGCGTGGGATACTCACTGGGTCACCCTCAAGAGTAACCCCGAAGTTCCCACGAACAGTCCCGCACTTTGCCTTTGTCAAGAGTTGAACGGGTGAAGAATTTACTAAGGAAAGAGAAAATACAACAAGATATAGCAAACCTTAACAAATATGATGTGTAACACCTAGACTAACATAAACTAGACATATAAATAAAATGTTGACACACCCCCATAGTCTAGGTGATGGTAGTCCTCTGAAAAGCAACACAAATCTCAGGGTGGGCCTCAATGACACACACACTCTGAGAGCAGGCAAGGGTCACATGACCAGTCAGCAAGAACAAGCAAGGGTCACAAGACTAGTCCACAAGAACAGGACAAATTTCAGGGTGCAGCTCAAAGTCACCACACACTCCAAGAGCAAGCAAGAGGCCACAAGGCCAGTCCACAAGCAGATATATAGCAAATATCAGAAGATGCAAGAGTAGAAGACAACCAGGACAAAGCATCTCTACGTAAGCAAGTGAGGACGGGCAAGCACAAGCCCAAGCTGGGTGCAGAAATGATGGTGGACACAAGGCGGCAACGCCTTGGTGAAGATATCTGCCGTGTTGGCCTCAGAGACCACACGTCGTACGAGTGCGTGGCCACGCTGCTGCAACTCACTCTGAAGGAAGTAACATCATCACCAAAATTGCGTGGTCCCCAATCTGTCCCGAAACCATTCTGTCCCAGAACAGACACAAATCCGTCCCGAAACTATCTTGAAAGACACTTTCGGGACATTTTCGTCTTCAGGCGGTTTTGCGCTACATTTCAACATGTCCCAAAAGTGACTTGTGCCGTAATCTGCCCAGGCCTGGGAAGGTTAGAACTGCAACGCGATCAGAAGACGCAGGTTCGATGCCCGTCGATGTCAGTTCCATTGCGTTGGGTGTAGATTTTGTTTATGATTTTCGTTCGTGTTGTACCCTTCTGGAATATTTCATTACGAAATATAAGTACACCACAATGTTTGGTGGTAATCATAATCCCACAATGTTACCAGTAGTTGTTTGTTACAAAAACTGGCACTCAAAACAAGTACAACAAAACAAAATATTGCTTTTGTGTTTAGCGTCAAGAACCTCATTGGGAATCGATCTCAATACCTTCGGAAAATATCTGAAGTACAAGACCACTGCGCTAGGAGCTAACGTGAATTTTATACCTCCAATTTATATATAAATCCACTAAACCAAAATTTCGCGCCACGTGTCGCGAAAGGAAATACGTGGCACCTGCCAGCAGTGCCGAAATCGTCCACGTGCACTAAAAGAATTCGCGTCACTGCCAAAGGTCCACCACAGAACTAAAATATTCAACCACCTGTGAGGTCCACTTCATGGTGTGAACCCCATCTCGATCACCGATACGAAACTACTATAACCCATCCATACCGTAAAACGATCCAAACTTGTTGCTAGAAGAAGGCGTTGTTCTCTCGTCACCTTTTGTTCTTCACTTTGTTATTTGCTGCTCTGCTCTTGTCTCTGCCAGTAACTAGGCTCGACTTGTTAATTCTGTTCAACACTTCAACTAACATTTACGCCCTTAAATCACTATATTACCCGGCAGTCTTCGTTTGTCATTAATTACACTCTTGTTCTAACTCGTCTTTCGTAACTAGAACCATGATTTTGACGATTATTTGTTTAGTTCCTTGAAGTCTCTCTCATCTCGCGTCACTGCTTACGTCCCCTACTATGTTACCGCGTCACATTTCAAACTGGCTTTCCCATCCGTTCATCCTTTTTCCCGTGGCATTGAATCAGGATAGCAAGTGACATCTTCTCAATGACGTTGGAAAGGAATCATGGCGTTTCGTACGATTCAACACGATGAATCATCTACTTCACTTGTACGTTTTCTTGCAATTTCATTTTCTTGAACATTGTTATTTTATTGTAAACAAAAATGTTTGGTGTGTCAACGTTGTAGTTTGATTGTAAGATCTGTCTGAACAGAATTTGCTAAAAGGAGATGTCAATGTTTTCGTCGACGGTAAGTTTTTTTTATTCTGTTTTGGAGCTTTGTTTTCTAACCTCAATGACTGACAAATGATGTTTTCCAGCATACTATATGCCTATGTTGCGGTTCAATATGTTATAATTGGATCAATTCATTTTTGTAATTGTCTTCTAACAACTTCGTCGGTTCAAGGGTAATATTGATTACTTCATGTCTACACAACGTTTATTATGACTCAACTGAAGCCACTACTTAGATGTTGCGGTGTTTTTGTGTTATGCCAGATAATATATTTGAGCCTTATGGTTTTGGAAGTTGTGGCAATTTGTATACATCATGGTGCAAGAATTATGCATTAGCGTTTCTAGTGTTTTCTTGTATAAACATTGTATTAATGTCCTAATTTAAATACAATGGGGCTTTAAGGCCAAACGCAAGAGAGGCAGTTGCAATGCAAGCAAACCCAGAGACGTCCCGAATCTGTCCGTGGGAGAGTCCTCAATGCTACAGGAAGAGAGGTCTCGAATGTGTCCCAAAAGTGTCTCGAAAGACACTTTCGGGTCAGTTGGGCGATCCACTTTCAGGACATTTCACTTAGTCTCGAAAGTGTCTTTCG